GCCTGCAACCTAGTAGCGATGGCCTCCAACCTAGTAGCGATGGCCTCGAACCTACTGGCGATGGCCTCCAACCTAGTAGCGATGGCCTGCAACCTAGTAGCGATGGCCTCCAACCTAGTAGCGATGGCCTCCAACTTACTAGCGATGCCCTCCAACCTAGTAGCGATGGCCTGCAACCTACTAGCGATGGCCTGCAACCTACTAGCGATGGCCTCCAACCTACTAGCGATGGCCTCCAACCTGGTAGCGATGGCCTCCAACCTACTAGCGATGACCTCCAACTTTGTAGTGATGGCCTCCAACCTACTAGCGATGACCTGCAACCTAGTAGCGATGGCCTGCAACCTAGTAGCGATGGCCTCGAACCTACTATAGCGATGGCTTCCAACCTAGTAGCGATGGCCTGCAACCTAGTAGCGATGGCCTGCAACCTAGTAGCGATGGCCTCCAACCTAGTAGCGATGGCCTCCAACCTAGTAGCGATGGCCTGCAACCTAGTAGCGATGGCCTCCAACCTAGTAGCGATGGCCTCCAACCTACTAGCGATGGCCTCCAACCTACTAGCAATGGCCTCCAACCTAGTAGTGATGGCCGGCAGTGTCTTTGGGCCCGAATCCACAACTATAGACCCAAAGCATCAAGACCGATTGAGTACCAGGTGGAAATTGGCATAGTAGATGTGATCAAGAATGGTTTCCTTTTGCACATCGGAACTCAGCATGACCGATAGACATCGGTTTATCGCAAGGCTGTGGTGGATGATATGATGATCACATCGAACACAATCACCTTTGATTAGATTCAGATCTTGAACATGTCTTCGTGCCATGGGAGGCGCTAGCGAGCACTTGGGTGAGGAAAGCCTGGGAGGAAGTTCTGCAAAGAAGCCATAAGGGCCTCAAAACAAAGAAAGTAAGACCATACCTCATCCTCGATCAGCAAACACATCCTGTGAAGCCATTTCTTGCCTGCTGGCATGGTCAATCTATGATGAAGATAGCAAGACCCGCATGGTCAATCAAACAAATGACGTACTCCTCTTTTGTGAGTATCAACACCCTGACCTAGGTGTCCGCGTCTGCACTGACGATGAGTGGCTGAGTGTGCAGAAAAACGAACTTGGTGTCAAGAATTTGGTAAGCCTCTTACAACAACAAGTTCGGATCCTGAATGGAAAACATCACGCTACTTGCGTCTATGGATTTCCATCTGTGCTTCATGCAAAAATGTAAGTGTCAGAGAGCTCCAAAAACAGCCCGTTTCCTCGTAAACAGTCAGAGTGCTCAAATGTAATAGGAACGTGTTGGTCCTTTCACCTTCAAGCTAAACCTGCTAGCAATGGCCTCCACCTAACAGCGATGGCCT